AGGAATAAATGTGTAATGTAGAAGTTTATGGAAGTGTGTGGTGAAAATGTGGTGGTGAGAAAACAAATGGGTTCACCCCCTTTTTATAAGCATACTGCCGACATGGGGAAAAGAGGGAAGAAAGCAGGGAAGTTATCTCATCATCTTTGTTCTCCAACTTCAACCCAAAAACTCTTCTCTCCAACTTCCACCCAAAAGCTCTTCTCTCAAACTTCCACCCAAAAACTCTTCACTCTAACTTCCACCCTTCAACTTCTACCCAATAACCCATTCTCCAACCCAAACAATTGTCAGCAAACTTTCTCATCAAGCTAACAAATATTGCAGTGGAATAGGCTTGGTCCAAAATGAGCTATTTACCACATAGGAGGGAAGCCCCAACCCAACGGTCAAAACCCCAATGCTTTGTATTTTTCTTTGAAAGAAGACTCAGCAGATTCATTTATTCATATCAACAAGCAAAACATTAACAAGCATCAATGGATACGAACCGTCAAGATTTTGAATGGGTATGGAACCGGCAAGTTTTTGCACCGGGATGGGTAACCTTTATGAGGAGTTGAATTGATTGCAAAAATATATGAATTTTTGAACGATCGGGATATGAGAGAAAAAAAAAAGTTTTCTTAATGCATCCTTTAGAAAAACAAAGAAGAAAACTCAGCAAATTTCTTAATTCATATCAAAAAGCAAAAACATCAACAAGAGAAAAGAAAGGAATGGGAGATCATTCCAACCTCCCGAGTTAACAAATGAGTTGTACTATTTAATTTGCAAATCATTTAACAAACAAAAATTAAAGCATGTTCCAGAAATTAAAAATCCCTAACTAGATCCTTATTCATATCTTTAATAATGAGATTGAAGGAAGTGAGCATGTTGTGGTTAAGAAGAGTAAGAGCGAATTAAAAAAAAAAAAAAATTTGTTATTGGAGGTGAAAGATTAAAAATTAATGAGATATTTAAAAGGAGTACTTAGAGATCGAGTCATAAATATTATTAATTAAGATAAAAAAATTAAAATACATCAAAATGAGATTAAAAAAATACTCAAAACAAAATGTGAAATATAATTAATTAGATGAAATAATTTGAATAGAAAACATATTGTAAAATACTCAATATCACTATGGATGGGGTTTGAAGAACTCATTTTCTATTTGAAATAAATTCCCCATCAATCAAATAAAATAAAATCTTTTTTTTTTTTCAAATTTGAGGAAAATATTCTCCCAAAAAACCAGTGAGAACAAACAGGACATAAGAAACCAACAAAAGCGTTAGGGCAGTGCGTGTTGTAAGTACCAGGAATTGACTTTGGGTTGACTCATGGATAGGCATTGACGGGAAAGCTAATAATCTAACGTGTAAAATGGGGAAGTATATATTCATTTTGTTGTATTATATTAAGCATTTAGTGTACTACTTAAAGTGCTAAAGTAGAGTATTTTCACTAGCAAACACTCAACTGATAGATTTGAATGTGAAGCTACCAAAAGTTAGTAGAGAAGATATTAGAAATCAGCAAAAAGCTTTCGAGAGGTGCGTGTGGGAAGGACAAATTAACCAGCGTTCACTTTGGTGCAAATTCAAATTATACTGTATGCACATATTTTGGAGATTGTTTTGGACAAGAGTCCACATAATGTGTAGACTCCAATATGTCATTCACATTAGTAGATTTTGATCAGATTTTGAGACAAAATGAGTGAGTGGATGAAAGCGAAATATAGAGCTCCTATTGCAAGAAGGGGTTTTTTTGTGGGTCCCACGCACATGTCAAATGACTATTGAAATTGTACTATGGGCCTTGAATGTAAGTTAATACTTAGGCTGGCCCTATCTCAGAAATTACCCCCTATTTCTAGATGATGTGGCTTTTTGTTAGCAATTCTCTTTTATTTTATTTTGCCCATGTCACTTAACAAGCTTGCATCTGTAGCAAAAGCTATCGACGTGACTATTTTTTTTGTTTTTTGTAAACTTAACTTTTGTTGTGTTCTTTTTTTTTTTTTTTTTTTTTTTTTTTGTTTTTGTTTTTGTTTTTGTTTTTGTTTTTGTTATTTCTTATATATATATATATAGTTTTGATTAATGATTTTTATTTTGTTATTAACTAATTTATTTTAGTTTATTTTTAAATTATTATATTGAAATTTGTTACGTATAGATTTTTAAATCATTTTTAAAAATTACGTTTTTAGATTTTCCTTATAACTATTTTTAATATTTAAAAGTAATTTATTTTAAAAATTACTCCGAATGTTTTTTGATTTGAGGTCATTTTTATTATTTTTAGTATTTAATGTAATTTATATATTGATATAAATTAATATATAAAGAAGAGAAAATAATATTTATTGTGAAAAAAATATTAATTTTTTAAAGTGATGTGAAATTGGGGTCCACTTTAGAAAGTTGGTTGGAATTGTAGGGATGCGGTATGAATAGTAAATGATTTGTAAATTAGACGATGTGAAAGTGGGACCCATTTTAGAAAGTGAGAGAGAGTTGCTGGGATGGGGTTAGCCTACAATTCTACTTGGGGTTTTAATCAAGGAATTAATGTACCATTAATTATGTCAATTTTGAACGAACAAATAACGAATTAAAGGTAAGAAAATAAAATCCAGAACACAGAAATTGATCACGCAATTCGGAGCGAAACATCCCACGTCTGCGGGGCAACTCACGTCAGTCCAATCCACTAGACGTTCACCAAGATTACAAACGGGTTCGTATACAACAGGCCTTAGCCACTACAACCAACTTTAATCTTCACAACATCTCATATAGGATAGGTGTGCAGTGTGCATTTCAATTTCTTCTTCAAGCGCTGATACTGCTGAACTTGCTCCAGGTCGTCTGATCCAGCGAGATCACCACTTCATAACAATATTATAATATGATAAATAGACGTAATATAAGTAGAATTTCCCTCTAACTAGTATCTCTGAAATTTGTGTGATGAAATGATAGAAAATCCTCTTTTTTTATAATCAATTTCACTTAACTATCTTTCCCCAAAGTGTGCTGACCACAACTTACTGATAAATGTCATCCACTTAATTTAAATAATGCTAAATAATAGTTTTGACCAGCTGAAATTAGTTAGAAGATAACTGAATGATATGAGCTGACACTGATCCAGTGAATCCAGAAGCTCTGCCAGAAATTGATATTACAACTTGATAGGAGTCGGTCCAAACATTATAATTAAATTAAATTTTAACCTTTTGACAAATAAATTAGTCAATTTTTTTTTGAAAATCAGATAAGATCAGATTGCATTAGCCATATTCGGCTCCAAAAAAGACGGAGGGACATCCCTCCAAACAGAACTAGCAGTAGCCGCATTAACATGCTTAGCCAACATATGAGCCGCTTTATTAGCGTCTCTACTAACATGAGTAATTACAGTACCAGGCATAGAAGAAATTAAACGTATACAAGAGTCTAAAACAAAACCAATATACGAACGAAATGAACGTGCATTACTAAGACTTGAAACCAGAACCGCGCTATCTGTGAAAAGTCTGACCGCCGTGTAACCGTTATCCTTTAGCCAAGAAAGTGCCTCACACACCGCCATTGCCTCCGCCATAAGACGATTGTTCGGGCATACCATAGGACCATTCGCCGCTACTACGTAACTCCCGGCAATTTATATCCTACACCACGGCGCGCGTTGCACTGTGCACCCAGATGCAAAACGACGTCGTTTTAAATTTTTTTTTTTTTTTTGAAATTTCCCGCCCCAGTGAATGGCAGTAATTTTTTCTTTAAAAAAAAAATCGTTGTTCAAAAATGTACATAATGTTATACTAGAATACACATAATTGTATACATGAATGTACATAATTATATAACAAAATATACATACTCTTTTTAAAAGATAATACACATAATCTAACATAATACATAATAAACATAAACTTTTAACATAATACACATCAACTCTTAACATAATACACACAAATTTTCTGATTCGGATGTACATAATTGTATAAAAAGAATGTACATAATTGTATAAAAAATGTACATAACTGTATGAACAAATACACATAATTGTGTGAACAAATACACATAATCACAGCAACTTCCTACTACGCTTCCCAAAACGACGTCGTTTTGGGAGGCGCGTGACGCACAGTGCTACGCGCGCCGTGGTGTAGGGTATAACCATTGGTAACTCCCATCCTCCTCCGTCACCATAAAACCGTAGGTGGCAGTTTGGTGATTATTGTGAAAGCCAGCATCCACATAGCAAACCAAACCATGCTGCAATTGATTAACATGCAAAACCAGCTGATGCTGCGTCCGTGATACCCTTGGTCCAGCTCCACTACCCTTCCACGCTGTCCAACTTAAGGAGAAACGGCGACACAGTGCTTAAGCATTAGCCAATTTATAATAAAGGTTTAATGTGTATCATTTGTACACTTGCAACTATCTTAAGCATAGCAATGCACGTTTCGCGCAAAAAATGATGCCCAGCCATTTTTGTTTTGTTTTTGCGTCAGACCATTGCCAGACTATTGAGGGTGCCCTTATAAACTAAGATTGAGCTATGATCTTTTTTTGGGTCGCTGAATTGTAAGAATGACCTCTTTTGGGTGGACATCATAATTGTACCCAAAACCAATAATTGAACCTTTGGTTAAGGTCTTAAGAATGAATGAGGTTCTTTTATTCCACCACACCTACATGTTATTAATTAGTCTAACTTATGGCCTTATAAATCAATATATTCTTTCTTATTTTATCAATGTCACAATAGGGGTTCATTGTATAATAATCCTAGGCAAAAATTTGTGTGAGCCATAATCGTATGGAATGTGCCGGGAATTGACTTTGGGTAAAGTCGTCGATCGGCAATCACGGAAAAGCTCATAGATGCAGACCTCACCCAGGCCTACCTGTCTTCTTCATCGCCTATCCCATTACCCATATAGCGTATAAATACAATTTGATTGCCACCCAAACTTTTATCCATAGAATCGGTAGTAATATATTACATACATTTACATCTTCAATAATAATGGAAGTATTTGCCCCTGTTGCAGCATGTTGGTGTTGTTTATTAATGGTGATCGTCTTCCTGTCAGCCTCCGCTATTGCACAGACGACAACCAACGCTCCGATTGCTCGTCCAGGTTGCCCCACCCACTGCGGAAACTTGACGGTTCCCTACCCATTCGGAATCGGGATAGGAAGTCAATGTGCACTTGATTCCGGATTCCAGATAATCTGCGACACTAGTATTTCCGGTCAACCCAGAGCATTCTTTAGCGGATGGAATGGTCTCCGCTTTGTCTATAACATATCAGAAACCCAGATCTCGGTTAAGCACTCCCCAAGTATACCAACCAAATGCTACGACTCCAACGGAGCATTGCTTCGTAAGCCGCCATTTCTATACTCAACTCATTGGATACTGCCCATACAAAGATATTATCACTACAGCCTCTCCCCTGAAAACAAGTTAACCACAGTTGGCTGCGACGATACTCTGGTGATATCCGACGGAACCAATATTACTTCCTCATGCACTTCCACATGTTCTAATGCCTCTCAAGTGCCTGACAATGGGACTTGTTCCGGTATCGGCTGCTGCCAATTACCCTTACCTAAAAGCCCCAACAAGGTCTACAATATTAGCATGCTCAGTGCCTGGAACCACACCAGGGTCTGGTCATTCAATCCCTGCGGCTACATGTTCACTGGAGATACGAGTCGGTTCAGATTCCTTGGTGCATCTGATTTGAGCAATCCTAATTTCACACGGAGGGTTTTCGAAAACGTTCCAGTGGTTCTAGACTGGACAGTTGGAGACTTGAGTTGCAAAGAAGCCCAAAGCAGTAGTGGATATGCATGCCAAGCCAATAGCCATTGCGTAGATTCAGACACGGGATTTGGTGGTTATCGCTGCGAATGCGATTATGGCTATGAAGGCAACCCATATCTCACTCAAGGCTGCGTCATGGCGTTAGGTAAGGCTTTTTATTTTATTCCTAAAAATGTATTTTTGGAACCATCTTGTAATATGAACCATATATAATTCACAGTATAAGTGTATAACAATTGCCACTTGTATTGTATTAGACAAGCCAATTGGAAACTTGAGTTGTAATGAAGCCCAAAAAAGAAGTGGATATGCATGTCAAGCGAATAGCTATTGCGTAGATTCAGGCACAGGAAAGGGAGGTTACATGTGCCGCTGTGATGATGGTTATGAAGGCAACCCATATCTAAGTCCAGGTTGCACTGGTACGTGCATAATAACATAAATTAAATATCTACTATTTAACACTCCATATTACTCTGTTACATTTACACTATTAGTTGCGTATGTTCCAGATATTGATGAATGCAAAAGTCCAGAGAATAATACATGTATACTACAATGCAACAACATTCCAGGGGGCTTCAAGTGTAGTTGTCTCCAAGGGTACTATGGCGACGGAAGAAAAGATGGTCAGGGTTGCCTTCTTATGAACAAAAAGTCAATTTCATGGTTTAAATTCTTTCTAGGTAGGTTCTTAATTTGCTTTATTTTTTAAGTAATGGTATGAAAACTATGAACGTTTACTGATTGCCAGTGGTTCTCACTTCTCACTACCCTACCATCAATACAGGGATAGGATTGGGAATATTTGCCTTGGTTGCTGTGGCTACTTCACTCTGCTATATCATCAAGAAAACAAATCGTGCTAACATGAGGCTCAAGTTCTTTGAACAAAATGGTGGCTTCTTACTCAAACAAAAGATAGCCTCCAGCGATGGATCAGAGGTGACCAAAATTTATTCTGCCAAACAGCTCACCGAAGCTACCAATAACTATGCTCAAGATATGATTTTGGGTCGAGGTGGAAATGGCATTGTATTTAAAGGAATTTTACCAAATATGCTTGAAGTTGCAATTAAAAGATCCAAAACAGTGGATGACACTCAAATTGAGCAGTTCATCAATGAGGTGGTTATTCTTTCTCGAATCAATCACCGCCATGTTGTCAAATTCTTGGGGTGTTGCTTGGAAGCTGAAGTTCCTCTGCTAGTATATGAATATATCTCTAATGGAACTCTCCATCACCATATCCATCGCCATACTGGTGCATCAGATTGGTTGTCTTGGGAAAATCGTTTGAGAATTGCAATTGAAGCTGCAGGTGCACTTGCTTATCTTCACTCTGCCGCATCCATGCCTATAATCCACCGAGACGTCAAGTCAACCAACATATTGATAGACGAAAACTACACTACAAAGATCTCTGATTTCGGAGCTTCCAGGTTAGTCCCTTTGGATCACACACATGTGGCAACACTAGTCCAAGGAACACTTGGCTATTTGGATCCAGAATACTTCCAAACAAGCCGGTTGACAGAAAAGAGTGATGTATACAGTTTTGGAGTAGTCTTAGCCGAACTTCTAACAGAAAGGAAACCCGTGTCTCCAAATATGAATGAGGAGGAGGATCGAAACTTATCTGCATTTTTTGTTCGATCCGTGAATGAGAATAGACTGTTTCAGATTCTTGTGCCTAGGCTAGTAAAGGAGGGGACACTAGAACAACTTCAAAGAATTGCAGAGCTTGTGAAAAGATGTCTTCAACTTAAAGGAGAAGACAGGCCTAAAATGAAAGAAGTGGCCAGTGAACTTGAACATATAAGATACTCTGCTGAACATTCATGGGCAGAACCTCGTTTTATACTTGAAGAGGATAAAGCGTCAGATCTTTATCCAGTGACAATAAGCCCATAGTGCTTATGCCCGCATGTGATGAGATCATATCATTTAACTTTAATCTCTTTGTATGATAATAATAGACTATACCTTAAGTGATATTTCTACTTTATTGTATTTGTAAGGAAAAGAGAGACTGAGAATGCATTCTGCATTATGTTATATTGAATATAATATAGTCACGACACAAGTTGCGCATCATCTCCCCTTCAGCTCTGCTTTTAGGAGCAACCAAAATGGCAAAATCTAATGTTGTATTATGCAATATAAAAGTCAAGGTAAAATACTAAAGTCTTACTAATATTGAGTTATTTTTTAAGAAATATAATTTTTTTTTTTATATAAACAATTACATCTGACCCTATCGAGTTATCAGTTTTAATTGTCTTAAAGTAGTTAATTCAGGTGAGAATAGAGATTATTGTTCTTCAATGTCAAATATTATATACAAGGAGATTTTTAATAATTTGTAACTATAATACCTAAATTGTAGTATTTGGTTTGGGACCTTTTGTATGTAAAATATGCATACATCCTTAACGAACACAATGATCTAGAAATACCAAATAACGGCCCTGTTTGGTAAATGATTGTTAGTTGTTAGCTGATTGAGTTAATTAGATGGTATATTTAGTTGATAACATTAACTAATTGTAAGATGTGTTTGGTAAATTAGCTTAGTTGTTTGGTATAATTTCTTTTCTTAAAAAGCTAATTGAAAAAGTTGTTTTGAGTAGCTTTTTGAATTTTAGCATTTTGGAATACAAAAAACTAATTAACCAAACACTTATATTGATTTTTAAACCAAGTCAAACAACAAATAGTGATCAAATAAGCCAAAATTAGACTATAGGCTATCTATTTTACCAAACACGGCCGTTGACATGTCTATAGGATATATGTAGGCAATTCACCTAGCCCTTATCATATGGTTGCAATACATTCTTATTATCATACATTGAGAATGAAGCATCGTGAGTTAAATGCAAATTAAAGCTTGGGAAAATGGAACTTTTTACCCTTGAGTTATATACTTATAGCACTTTTTCCCCCTCAATTATTTAGGTAAGCACATTAGTCCCCTCAGTTATTCTAAAAGTGGTGCTTTTTTCCCCTTGATATATTCAATTGACATTTATACCCTTAAAGTAAATATTTTATTTATTTTACTTCTCCAACAAATTATTGCGTATACGTAGGGATGACCACGGTTCGGTTTGAATTGAACCGGATACTATAGCAATCGAATTAATAGTTTTCGGTTATAATTCAGATCTAGAATCCAATATTTAAATGTCAATTTATTAAAATCATGTATCAAAAAAATTGAATCTTGAACCGTGAACCGGCGGTTCTGGATCCGATTCGCGATTTTGAACCGTCTTTTTTTTACGTTTTTCTTTGTGGATGTCGTGGGGAAGGCAGTTGGTTCAATACATTATAAATACCATGCCTTCCAAACCTCATTTATAAGAATATAATTCCAGTGCGAATACGTATTCTCTCAGAGTGCAAAAGCAATACGTGAGTTATTCTGTGTTTGCTGGTCGAAAGCACCCGGGTTAAAGACTTGCACAGTCTCCGGCAATAGCTTTTAAGGCAGTGTATACACACGTCATAGAAACAAATAAGCTATACTCGTTTCTTATTATCACAGCCTTAAACACACCATAAATTAACCCCGCACAACTAAGATCCCATCAAATCTAAAGCTTCCTACACCATAATCTCATTGCACGATGAATCCATCTATGCTACCACCAATAACCCAATTACACATGACACACTACCAATTAAAAAAAAAAAAAGACCTGTACTGAGGATAAAGACAATAACAATGCTACCCAAAAGAAAATTAAGAAAAATTAGAGAAATTTAAATCAAAAGTAGTATTTATTTAGACTATGATTTTTAGACTAAGTATTTAGACTAGCGTTATTACAAAGTTGCAAACATTTATATTAGTGACAATATAATCAATCTCTCATATATTATCTTGCATTTATATACTTTAAATTTCCGATTTAAATAAATAAATTCAATATTTATCTACCTATGCATGAACATCTCGGATATAATATTACATTGATATACTTTGAAATACTTATTTAAAAATAATCATTGGACATTATTCCATTCACACAATGCCCGTAAAAGAACTAATATTTTTATAAGTTTGAATATATTATCTTTGTTGAACTTGCATTTGATGGTGCCAAACTATCAGTTATTTGATATTTGTCATGAATGTTTGATAAATAAAGCAATAAGTTAAATTCTAAATAAATTTTGTTCAAAAAGCGAATTCTTAGCACTAATCTTATTAAGAGGAGAATTGTAAATTCCTGTGGACAGCAACTCATATTGTATAAGCACAAAAGCAAGCCATTTTTATATTTTTAAATTTAGAAAAATAATTTATAAAAATAAAATAGAGATATCATCTCACAAAGATGTCTATAGTTTATCTTGCTGTCTGAAATTTAGTTGTTTCTGGTGATGATGATTGTGTGAGAGTTTGTTAATTCACTTAATTGAGATGAATATGTTCTCGGAGTAGTTTAAAAGCGTTTTTGGGTTAGATTATCTATTGATTATATAATTCAAGTGTACAATTTTAACAAGTAGCTGGAATAGCTCAGTTGGTTAGAGCGTGTGGCTGTTAACCACAAGGTCGGAGGTTCAAGCCCTCCTTCTAGCGAATTTCTTTTTCATTCTTGTACAAACTTACTCATACATATGCTCATACACTCTCTTACTCATACATATGCTCATACACTCTCTTACTCATACATATGCTCATACACTCTCTTATTCATACATATGCTCATACACTCTCTTATTCTTTAACCTATCAGTTTCTTCAACACAACAAGATGTTGAGATCCACCCAGCCAGGGGTAACCATAAATAAACACTAAAGTCTTTAAAAAAAAAAAAGGCAATTTTGATGATTCTTCAATCTGTATTACTGCAAAGGCTCTTCACATTATCAGAACTTCTCCTTGTCAATCCCCTAGAAGAAAGTGGGTTCATTTCCTACACAACTGAAAATCATCTGTTGAATGCCTCTTAGAGGGACGGGCTACTTGGAACGGCATAAAGATCTGATGGTTCATCATCCGCAACTACTACAGAACAAGAAGGCTCCGCCCAAGAATGCTTAGTGGAATTTCTTATACATTCAAGTTCACTCGCTACTTCTTTCATTTTAGGCCTATCTTCTCCTTTGAGTTGAAGACATCTTTTCACAAGCTCTGCAATTCTTTGAAGTTGGTCTAGTGTCCCCTCTCTCACTAGTCTAGGCACAAGAATCTGAAACAGACGGTTCTCATTCATGGATCGAACAAAAAAAGACGATAAGTTTCGGTCTTCTTCACTCATATTTGGAGACACAGGTTTCCTTTCTGTTAGAAGCTCAGCTAAGACTACTCCAAAACTATATACATCACTCTTTTCGGTTAGCCTACTGGTTTGGAAGTACTCGGGATCCAAATAACCGAGTGTTCCTTGGACTAGTGTCGCCACATGTGTACGATCCAAAGGAACAAACCTAGAAGCCCCGAAATCTGAGATCTTTGTTGTATAGTTTTCGTCAATCAATATGTTGGTTGACTTAACGTCCCTATGGATTATAGGCATGGATGTAGCTGAGTGAAGATAAGCAAGTGCACCCACAGCTTCAATTGCAATTCTCAAACGATTTTCCCATGATAGCCAATTCGACCCACCGCCTTCACGGTGGATGTGATGATATAGAGTTCCATTGGAGATGTATTCATATACTAGCAAAGGAACTTCAGCTTCCAAGCAACACCCCAAGAATTTGACGACATGACGGTGATTGATCCGAGAAAGAATAACCACCTCATTGATGAACTGTTCAACTTGAGTGTCGTCCACTGTTTTTGACCTCTTAACTGCAACTTTGAGTTCATTAGGTAAGATTGCTTTAAACACAGTGCCACTACCACCTCGACCCAGAATCATGTCATGAGCATAGTTATTGGTAGCTTCCCTGAGCTCTTTTGCTGAATAAATTTTTGTCACGTCGGCTCCATCGCTACCTCCATCATTTGAGGTGATCTTTTGTTTGAGTAAAAAGCCACCATTTTGTTCAAAGAACTTTAGCCTCAGTTTAGCTCCATTTCTTTTCTTGATCGTATAGCACAGTGAAGTAGCTGTGGCAACCAAGACCAAAATTCCCAATCCTATCCCTGAAAATTAAAGTAAAGTGAAAAATGATAAGATGGAGTAAATATTTGTGACAATTTTGAAAATTAAAGTTGATTACCTATAAAGAATTTAAGCCAGGGAAAGATTGATGACTTTTTATTCATGAGAAAGCAACCCTGACCATCTTTTTTACCGTCGCCGTAGTACCCTTCCGGGCAACTACAGTTGTAGCCCCCTTGAACGTTAATGCATATCTGTTCACATGGATTCATCTCTGGATTTGCACATTCGTCAATATCTGCAGCATATAGTGGATTGATCTTCATATAGCTATTTTCTTTACGTTAACATTTTCAATGTAAAAAGTAATCTACTAACAATAAAAATACTTGTGTAGAGAATAGATATATAGGGGCTATTAAGAAATTAGGTGATAGTTGATTGTGTTCATTATTTTGATTATCTGAGTGTATTAGTTGATTAAATTTTTTCATTTTCAACTTATTAACATTAATAAGCAAAGTAAAAAAAATTGTTTACCAAATACTCATTTTAATTGTTTGACTAGTCAAACAACGAAAATTAGTAAAAAAACAAAGGGAAATGGTCAAATAGGCACTCAAACTTTTGCTAAAAGTCAATTAGCCCCTCTAACTTTTTAAAGGTGTAATTACACTCATAAACAATACATTTTGATGCAATGAAGCCCAAATACAGGTAAATGACCTGCTATCATAGATCATTAAAAACTTTCCGACATGTTTTCTGGCAAAAATGTGATCGGCGAACGGTCACTGATCACGGAGAAGTGGTTGCCTTCTCCAGCGAGAAGGCCACCATTGTGGTCACCTTCTCGCCGGAGAAGGCAACCCAAATCTGGGTCTTTAAAAAGTTGGACAGGCTAATTGACTTCTTAACAAAAGTTTGAGGGTCTATTTAACCATTTTTCCAAAAACAAAAGAAGAGTATAACTTTGGTGATAATCCATTTTCTACACACACTGACTCTGTTTGGTAAAATAGTTAGCCTATCACCCAATTTTGACTTATTTGATCACTATTAATTGTTTGACTTGGTTAAACAACCATATGAGTGTTTGATTAATTAGCTTTTTGTAATAACTTATTGTTTCAAAATGCTAAAATTTAAAAAGCTATTCAAAATTAGCTTTTTCGAGCAGCTTTTTGAAAAAGTAATTTTGTATGTAATCAAGTAACAATTAATTTACAAAATACTTTTTTACAATCAACTAATACTATAAACTAGTTAAACACACTAACCCAATCAGCTAACAACTATTTACCAAACACCCCATCAACTAAAAATAAAAATTAGAAATGCAAAATTGGATACACACCTGTGCAGCCTGGACTGAGATATGGGTTGCCTTCATAACCATGATCGCAGCTGCAACGGTAGCCTCCCAACCCCGTCTCCGAATCTACGCAATGGCTATTCTCTTGGCATACAGTGCTGTTTTGGGCTTCTTCGCACCCCAAGTTCCCGATTGCCCAGTCTAGTACAAGCGGAACACTATCAACAACCCTCTCTCCAAAATAAGGATTGCTCAAATCAGCCGTACCAAGGAACCTGAACCGACTCGCCTCTCCAAGAAACGTGTGCCCACAGCGATTGAAAGACCAAGCCTTGGTGTGGTTCCAGGCACTCACCATGGAAACCTCGTAGTCTTTCTTCAAGCCTCTTGGTATCGGGGACTCGCAGCACCCGACGCCGGAACAAGTCCCGTTACCGGGCACCTGGCCGGCGTCGATACACCGCGAAGTGCATCCGGCAGTCGTATTGGTCCCGTCCGATATCATTACAGTATCGTCGCAGCCTACGGTGATCAGCTTGTTCGCCGGGGAGAGGCTATAGTGACAATACTTTTGTATACTCAGGACCCAGCTAATAGAGTATTGCTGACTAACCAATGCTCCGGTGGAGTTAAAGCAATGGGTGGCCACGCCGGCGCTGGGAATCCGTATCTCCCGGTCTGATATGTCGTAGACAATCGTGGGCAGGACATCTATGGTGAGGAACGCCCTGGGCGGATTGGTCTCGGTGTTGCAGGTGATCTCGAACCCGGAATCATATGCGCAGCCACTCCCTTTTCCGATTCCGAACGGGTATGGAACCGTGACGTTTCCGCACTGGCTTGGGCAGCCGGGGCTAGCAATCGGAGCGGCTTTGCTGAATTTTGTTGTCTGCGCAATTGCCGTGGCAGACAGGAATACTATTAGACATGACCAACGAGGAAAATGGACACAGAGTTCCATAATTCTTTGCAGAAATTAAAACTATTCGACTGGCCAAGAAATTCTGTTTATATATACACACTACATGAACAGGCGATAATGATGAAGATTGAAAAGACGCCTGGCTGGGTCCGCATGTCTGAAGTTTGCGCCATTTCCAAGCTAGCTTTTCCGTGAATGCCGATGGATGAGTCAACCCAGAATGCAATTCCTGGGCTCCTGGCACTTCCCACACGCACCTCGCAAAAGCTTTTCTTGGTTTCCTGCTAGGGGCAACAACATTGATTTCAACTAACTTCTTTAACTTTCCAATCTCAACAACATTGTTAGCTTCACATTTACAATCTTTACTACGGCACTACTTTTTTTTGGTGCGTTAACGTTATTGTTACTTTGGTCCTCACTGTATATACCGTGTGTTGTTGGACCCTCAACTCTAGCGTTCTTGAGTGATCTTTATTTCGTTACACGTACTTTATTCAATTTATTCTTTATATACTTTGATTTTGAATAATGTTATCACTATATATATATTGGAAAAATTGCATCTTTAGTTCCTGAGTTATAACCAAGTTCTGACTCAGTCTTTATGTTATGGCAGTATTCAAGTTTAGTCCCTCAGTTATAAGAGAAGTGACAAGTTTGGTCCTTAACGCTAATACTCCGTTTGCGGCTAACGGAAAACTTAAAAATAATTTAATAATAGAAGGATAAAATATGAATTTCAAATTATAATCCCCTTCTTATGTTGAAACTCATTGGACAACCGTTCGAGTTTAGTCCCTCAATTATAAGCGAAGTGACAAGTTTGGTCCCTAACACTAATACTCTGTTTGCGGCTAACGAAAAACTTAAAAATAATTTAATAATAGAGGGATAAAATATAAATTTCAAATTATAATCCCCTTCTTATGTTGAAACTCATTACACAACCGTTAAAATTGCCATCATATTTTGTTAGTTTTTTTTAGTTTCTTAAATACAACTAAAGGAACAGTTGCAAATTAGTCTTATATAGCATAGTTTTCAAACAGTGTTTGATAGTTGATCATGTATGAATGATCTAAACACTGTTTTGTTTAAAATTTCAACTCTTCATATGAAATACCTCACCTGTTGGCTGCAACATTCAATTTTTTGTTTCAAATTTGCTCTCATATTTTTGCAGAGTTTTCAAACAGTAGGCATAATCTAATAAAGAATAAAGAATTGAAGTTTTCGAATTACATAAGACATAATCTAATAAATCAATAACCTATTAATATACTCCACAATAGACATGAACCAAGAATAAGTGTATTTGTCTGCTGCTGCTTTGTATATGACCTGTATAGTAATTGAAAACATGTTTTAAAACAAAAAAAAAAAACATTTTACAAAACACAAAAAACCAATACATTCGCTAACAACTTTACATTACATGTATTAAAAGAGAAAACGATGTTCACTGGTTCATTACATTTTGTTCCTGCAATTTGGTTCCTGAAGACTCTTAATTGTCATCATTCTTTATTGAAAGATAAGAACAGTCTAAAACCTGTGTTCATTAAAGGGGTCTGTTGTCTGAATTTCTACATGACTGTTCTTGATTATTCTGTAAGGCCTTCCCATCTGGTTTCCCCAAAATTTAGGGTTCTAATGAATTTATAAAACACTGGTCCAAGCTCAACCTTCAAGAAAACTGAAACATATTTAAAAGAAATCCATTGAGAAAATGCAGTAAATGCTAAGTATGAAGAACAAATAATATGACTTTGACACTGAAATGAGTTCCAATATTCCAAGATAATCAGTTTTATAGCTTTAGGATTCATTACTAACTTGAAAACTTTTATGCAACCCACTTGAAAATATTCTGATGCATTTTTTCTTCATAAACCCACTTGAAAATATTCTTGTTAACCAGAAAAAAAAAAATAGTGTTAGGTTTAAAAAGCATTCATTTTAAAATTTATGTTTAGTCTTGAAGATGGCAAGAGTCATTTTTATTTAAATTTATTTTGCATTTTCCCATGTATATCTTCTTAAATGTAATATTCAAAAATAATTCTAATATGTTAGTAACTTTTAATATTTCAAGACATTTGAATCATGGTCTTCTTACCTAATTTAAATGATTTTATTTATGCAATTACGTCAGAGTATCTTAATCCATAACTACATATATACATGCCATTCCTAATTTTCCCATCCATTATGCCCACTACCCAAGCCGTTAGCTCAACCTCTCTCTGTCTCTCTCGCTCTCTGCAATGGAAGAGTCTGTGCAGTTGATTGGCGGCGGAGATGGCAATTCGGCCGCCGGAAGGGAAGGAAAGTGCGTCATGGCCGCGAAATCTTCCCCCGCCACCGCTGTAATCATCATCGGAGATAATTCCTGTGAAGGTGAAGGTGACGACTACGATTACCCGCCTCGAAAGTTCAAAAAGTATCGCTCCATCGTCGACGTTTACCAGTCCACCAAACCTCTGCAGATCGTCAAGACCACTCCCGCCAAACGCCAATTTGTAACTGGTAATTGCATGTAGGTTGAGGACCATTAGGAGAAGCTCCGGCAAGGTAATAAGGCCCTCTAGGTTGAGCTCAACTTTTACATGCATTTAATGTTCAAGTATTATACTTTGAAAATGACCAGAATCATGAACAAATTTTGAAAATGAAAAATACAAGATTTATTTGGTTCAGTCATGTGCCTATATTAATGGGAGTAGAGTACTTCAACTTAATTGTAATGATAAAACATTCATGATTACAAATATTATATTTATAGATAATCCTAAATTTACAATACATTTACAATATTATCCATGTAACATAACATAGGGGCACTTCCACCTCATCACCAGCCCACACCACTAAAGAGAAATGCTATTGTTCTACTTCACTGCATTTTAACATTTATCATCTTTTTAGCATATGAGGCTATGAGTCATACACAACAAATTTAATATTTTGTGGTAAGGATCACACTTGTCTGAAACCGTGTCACGGAATTTTATCCTTGAGAAGAGTCAGGTCAATATACAGATGTAGTACTTATACTAGCAAATTAATACTAAATCATGAATAAAATATTTTTTACTTTATTTTGATGACAAATGTAATACTTTTATATTTTGATGTAAAATTATTAATATTTTTTTTTATCAAAAGTATTATATTCTCCCTTGTAAGTAATGTTGCACTTATAAAGAAAAATGTAATATTTATGATGAAAAATGTAACACTTTTATATGATCAAAATGTGAAAGTATTATATTTTTCTTCAAAAGTACTTCGTGTTATATTTTTCCATATAAATAAGAAACATTTTATTCATGATTTAGTATTACATTTGCTAATTTGCTAGTATAAGTATTATATTTCATATTGACTCAATCCATCTCACGGACAAATTAAAAATCTGTGAGACGGTCTCAAACACATTTCTGTCTTGTAGTAATACATGTTCGATTAACTACTTTTATTTATTAATGAAATGCAAAAAAAGTACACTCCGTACCGTAATATATTGTTTAGTCTACAAATTAAGAATATTAAGAATATATTAAAAAGTTAAATAATGCTAATAATTGTGATATGGGAGAAGAGTATATACCGTGGGTGGCCAGGGTGGGTCTCTGCAAAGTACAGTTTGGAACATTGACAATTGAACAGTGACAACTAGCCATCCGAGATTTTTGCGGAGCAATGATTGCAATAATAATACGCTTCAGGTTGACCGTTGACGTAATACGTATTGAATACTTTTAAAACAAAATGGAATTATAAATATAAATTCTTTTGGTAATATCGTAATATGTGATAAAATAATATATTTTGAAATCACGCATTTTTCTTGGATATAAGGTTCAGGAATTCAAATAAACTTGTGTCAATAACTCAATATGTTAACATTCGACCATGTGAAAAAAAAAATAAATAAATAAGTAAATATATATATATATATATATATATATATATATACTAATTATATGATACAAACATTAGTTACAATCACACACTATAGAAAAATGCCCAACGACGAAAAAAATATGAGTGACATTATATAATAAAAATAAATATAAAACCATATGCATATTCCAACTTTCAAGCATTGATAAATAATACAAATGCACGATGCTAAACCTTAGTGAATTAAAGCACTCCTGATTACAAATAAGTCAAGTGTGATCATCTAAATTAATCACCTTCGGCTATTATTTGTGGAAAGGTTCATACCCGAAGAAGAGGTGTATTGTCCAGAATACTCACTAGTGAACGTAGAAGAATTGATTTGGAGTGTATATAGGTCAGACGGTCCATCTTCATCATTCATTTGACCACCAAAAACCTCATGCACTTGCTCTCCATGACTCCATGACTGTCTATTAAACTTCCTCAAAGCTTCAAGCTCCATGGCCACTTCCTTCATTGTAGGCCTATCTTCGCCATTCATGTGGAGGCATCTCTTTGCTAGTTCAGCAACTTTTTGAGTTTGCTCCAATGCCCCTTCCCTTAATACACGACGATCAAGAATCTTGAACAATTGATTCTTACCCACGGAGATCACCATGTATGCTGATAAATTCGTCTCCTCCTCGCTTCTTTCTCTAGATATCGGTTTCAGCCCAGTTAAAAGTTCACAGAGAACTACTCCAAAGCTGTACACATCGCTCTTTTCTGTCAATTCACTTGTTCTAAAGTACTCAGGATCTAAATATCCTAACGTCCCTTGGACTAACGTAGCCACATGGGTTTGATCCAAAGGGATTAATCTAGATGCACCAAAATCCGATACCTTGGCAGTGTAATGATCATCTATCAATATATTGGCTGACTTTACATCTCGGTGGAATATAGGCATGGATGCTGAGGAATGGAGATAGGCGAGTGCACCGGCTGTTTCTGTAGCTACTCTTAAACGATTTTCCCATGATAGCCAACTTGAACCACCTTGTTTGTGGATGTGCTCGTAGAGAGTTCCATGAGAGACATACTCATACACTAATAAGGGAACTTCTGCCTCTAGACAACAACCTAGAAGTTTGACCACATTTCTATGATTAATTTGACTGAGGATGACCACCTCGTTGATGAATTCTTCGATTTTGGTCTCATCCATACTCTTAGATTTCTTGATGGCGACTATGAGGTTATCTGGTAGGATGCCTTTGTAAACAATGCCATTTCCTCCTCGTCCAAGTTCCCGATCACTTGAGTAGTGGTTGGTAGCTTTTTCCAGTTCATTAGCGGTGAAAATTTTGATTGCCTCTATACCGTCGCCTATTGTGGTGATTCTTTGTTTTAGGATTAGACCGCCATTTTGTTGAAAAAATTTCTCGCGGAGTTTGATGAGTTTCCTTTTCTTGATAAAGAAGTATAGCCATGTTACTCCAATTACCATGGACAAAAAGCCAACTCCAAGTCCTGCATTTAGTATGATTTTACAAATTAGTAGACTAACCTTAGCTAGGAAGTTAAATAGAAACTGATATAAGTACAAGTATAATAGCTTGATTTAAGATTTTAGCACGAAGCCACGAACAATAAATTTTTGCTTCATTTGACTAATACATTGAGTTACTTTATAATAGGACAATGATAAACCTGTTATGCATGTGAGAACTAAGATGTAACATTTACCTAACTCATTACTTTAATTTCTAAATGTTTCATTGGCCAAATTACACAAAATTTAAGATTACCTTGTTTACAATGAAATTAATACAATTTTCTTTTTCTCAAATACTGCTGAACCGGTGAGCTAAGCACGTGGTGACTAAACTAAATTAATACAATTATGAAAACTTGTAAATAAGTGCTTACCCACAGAAAACTTGATCCAGGGGAACTCTGAATTATTATTAGGGGCAATGCAACCACTTCCATTCTTTTTTCCATCGCCAGTGTACCCATCCGGACAAGAACATCTATAGCTCCCTGCTGTGTTTGTGCATACTTCCTCACAATCATTCTTATTAGGATCTGCACACTCATCAATATCTACAAAACAATAAACTAAAATCAATATCAAAGCATCCAAACATTTTGTTCAGTGACCAAGAAAATCACCCGTCACAGTGTCACACCCAAAGATGTAGGGTGCACTGAATAAATTTCGTCTAAATTCAACTCCTAGCTGGGTGGTCTATTGGCTAATTCAATATAGGTAAGGATAACTTGAAATTAAATACTATATACCTTGGCAGCCGGGACTTAGATAAGGATTGCCCTGGTAACCCTGGTCGCAGCTACAACGATATCCGCCGGAATCATTGTCGGCATCAACGCAGTGACTATTTCCCTTGCACGCATACTCGTTGCTCTTTTGTGCGCCGTCGCAGGTAAGATTACCGATAGCCCAGTCAAGAAGGATAGGAACACTATCCACAATCCGTCGGGTAAAATTCAGATCTCTAAGGTCATCCACTCCTTGGAAGCTAAACCGGTCCGCCTCGCCAAGGAAAGCGAACGAGCAGGGATTAAAGGACCAGACACCAGTATGGTTGTTCAAGCTTAACATTCTGCTTACGTTAAAAGACTTCAATCCTTTCGGGATTGTAATTTGGCAGCAACCACCAGAACCTAAGCAACTTCCGGCGTGCACGTCCTCCGGTTTGGTGCACGCGGCGGGGCAGCCGTTGGCGAAGGTCTTACCGGTTAAGGGGTTGTTTCCCGACATGATGGCGGCGTCTTGGCACCCGATGACGGTGAACTTGTTTTTGTCGGAAAAAGTGTACGGGCTTGAAGTGCCGAGGTTGGTCCACGCCGGGATTTCCCCGAGCAAGCCCCCCGTCGGGGTGTAGCATCTTAAAGCAAGAACGTTGGAGATCCAAACGTGGGCGTCGGAGATGTCGAAGACTTGGATGTTCCCTATCAAAGGCATGGGAGGACTGTGCGATGTGTTGCAGTTGATCTCAAAGCTCGGGTTCAGAGCGCAACCCGATCCTAGTCCGATTCCAAACGGGTATGGAACGGTCAGGTTCCCGCATTTTTGCGGGCATCCGGGCTTCGTGATGGTGGTGGTGGTGGTGTTAGTGCTGGGTGTTTGGGCTATGGCCGGTGAAAGCAGCAGTGGGATAAAGGGGAGGGAAGCAAGTTGGAGAAAAACAGCGGCTAAGTTAATTGGATGCATGATAATAGCCCTGTGGATGAATGAGTGTGCAATGCTATTAATAACTGGTTTTATATATATATTACGGAGTACTAATTTCTATGATCTTTACCTTTTTGACTTATAATTCGTCAGTCGCTTCTAATTGATGCAATTCACACCGAATCAAACTACCAAATGCAAATATAATTAAAATTCGAGAGTTGAATAATATGGCAATGTCAATTCTGATATAGACATGTGATGGAGAGAGGAATAATATGGTGGGGCTAAAGAATATATGGCATTGTAAACTCTACACTATGGGTTCTCTTGACTTGTTCCAGCCGATATGATGTCGGTTGGAAGCCTGGAACGAGCTAAGAGAACCACCAGCTTGTGTTTTGAACGCGATTCGCAATGATCAAATGGTAGTTGTTAGTTTCAAAAGAGCTAGTGTGAGAGGCAATAAGTTGCCCTTGGCTCATCTCCTCCCAATGATTATTAAAAAAAAAAAAACTCTAAGGGGTGTATTCAAAAGCAAAATTCTCTCGTCCCAGACCCGACATCCCGATATGGCAAGATGGTGGTCGAGGTTGACACGTCTATTCTGCATGGCACGACTAATGGTTCCTATGGTGTTGTGGTTCTTAATAGCAATGGCAGCTATTTGGCTGCTAAAAGTGGTCATGTTTGTTGCTTGAATGATCTTTATTTAGCAAGAGGCTATAGCTGGAGGCCCTCTCTTGGATTCTGGAACAGGGATGACATAATGTGGTGCTACGTTTGGACTGTCAAATGATTTTTAAGTTTCTTAATAATGATCTACCGGACTTTTCTTATGCAGGTTGCGTGTTAAAACATTGACGATCTCTAAAACGACACTTTGAATCAATGTCTACTCAGTATGTTAATCGATCAGCGAATAAGCTTACTCATGCAATAGCTAGAGCCTCTTGTTCTCAGTCTAGTCACTCTACTTGATTTTCTTCCATTTCTTCTTGTATTGAACATTTAATTTCTATTGATTAATGAAGTTTGTTTTCTTTCAAAAAAAAAAAAAACAAAAATTATAATAATTGAGCTATTCATACCTATATTCTACCAATCAAGAACCAACTAAGTTGTCTGTGCAGACTTTTCAACATTTATTCTATCTCCAAATCACAACCTCAAATATATTGAGGTTGAGTGCCTTTTCTTTTTTTTCTTTTTTTGGTTAGTCAATGACTTGCCTACCAGGCTGGCCAGCGGGTTTCGTTGATCAGTAATTCAGTATAGTCCAGTTGACGCAGCAATATTGGAATATAAACTCAGTTGACCTTTTTATCACCTCATAATGCAATCTTGGAATACAAGCAATAAAGTCAATTTTCTTCAGCAATTCATAATATAGTACATGTAGAACGTACTATAAAAGGGACCGGCAAATTATGCTATGGACCCGTGTCCACATTGAATTGTGGACACGGGCCTAAAACGACGTCGTTTTAAAAAAAAAAACGCGTCATTTAGTTAAAAAAAAAAAAAATCGCGCGTGTTTTGCCGTTAACGGCGTTATTTTTTTTTTTTTTGATTATGAATGTACAGTTATGCCGTTATGAATGTACAGTTATGCAATTATGAAATTATGAACACAGAGCTCTAACATTATGAACTTACAATTATGAACATATATAGTGATAAAATTATGACCATGGAGCTTTAAAATTGTGAATATAGAGCTTCGAAGATTATGAATGTACAGTTATAGAGTTATGAATCTACAGTTATGGAGTTATGAATCTACAGTTATGAGATTATGAATCTACAGTTATGGAATTATGAATGTACAGTTATTGATCGAATTATGAACAAAAGCTCTAACATTATGAACTTACAATTATGAACATATAGTGATAAAATTATGAACATAGAGCTCTAAAATTGTGAACATAGAGCTTCGAAAATTATGAATGTACAATTATGGAGTTATGAATGTACAGTTATGACGTTATGAATGTACAGTTATAGAGTTATGAATGTACAGTTATAGAGTTATGAACGTACAGTTATGGAGTTATGAATGTATAGTTATTAACATATAGTAATAAAATTATGAACATATACTTCTATAACAAAGTGATTTGAAATTAAAAAAAAAAAAAAAAAAAAAAAAAAAAAAAAAAAAAAAAAAAAAAGATAACAGTGCCTAACGGCACTGTTACCCGTGTCCAGCAAGCATGCTGGACACGGGTCCAAGGCATAACGATTGAAAGGGACCTACGTAGTCTTGAGAACTATACATGGGCCAATGACCTTTTGAGCCCAATAATACATAGGAATCTAATCTTTATAAATAGTTTAAGGGATTATTTAGTCTTTTCCGATCCCCTAATCGATACACAGTACACTGTACACCCATAGAACTTGCATTAGCAAAAGCAATTAAAAAAAAAAAAAAGAGTGCAACTGTGTTACAAGATTTAACATGGGAAATTAATTGCTGGCCTAGCACGGATTGCATGCAAGTCAATCATTATACAATGTACCATGATTTACTTTTAAAGATAAATCATTAACATAAAGTTTATTTTTAATATATTGAAATTTTATTTTTAATACGTTGAATGTTTTTTTTAAGTTTATATTTTGTGTATTGAATGTTCATTATTTGATATACTACCAAATAATGAACTTCCAATACATATAAAATAAATTTTCAATATATTAAAATTAAAATGAACATTTATTTCATAATTCACATGATCCACATTGCAATATGGTTCATAGTAGAATTTGCTCATGCCAGTTTGGTAAGCATAGTAAAGCTCTTTTTACATAAAGTTATAAATGAGCCCATAAAAATTTGTTGAATTAATCACTATTGACTATAATCAACTTGGTTGGCATAAGTGATCGTGCACTCATCCCTTAAAAGAGGTCGTGAGTTCTATGGCCAGCACTTTACTACGAGCTTTGTCTCCTACACTTAAGCCCCGTGGTCTTTTATATATATATATATATATATATATATATATATATATATATATATATATATATATATATATGAGACAAAACAAAACCTCCAGTTTATGATTAGATACAAGTGGTAATCTTTATATCAATCCAAACACAACTGAAAAGATCGAAAAGCAATCAAAAATGAAAACATTTTATTAATCCGTACAAAATTAGCAACAACAGTTTTTTTAAAAGGAAATTTTATGTTACAACATTTGACATGGGAATTGAAAATAGTTTCAAGCCTAGCAGCATGCATGCATGTCAGCGCGTCTGTTAAGCATAGTAAAGCTCTTTAATTTTTACGCAAAATTGTAAAAAAGGCATCACTGTTGGCTACGATTCAAAGGAGATGTCATGTTGGAACTGTTGGAGGTATACTGTCCAGAATACTCACTAGTGAACGTAGAAGAATTCAACTGGACTGTATAAAGGTCTGACGATCCATCCTGACCATTCATTTCACCATCAAATGCCCCATGCAAGACTTGTTGTCCATTATTCCATGCTTGTCTATTAAGCTTCCTCAAGCCTTCGAGTTCCATGGCCACTTCCTTCATTGTAGGTCGATCTTCACCATTCAAGTGGAGGCATCTCTTTGCAAGCTCGGCAACCTTTTGAATTTGCTCCAAGGCCGCTTCCCTTAAAACCCGACGATCCAAAATCTTGAACAATTGATTATTGTTCATGGAGGATACCAAATATGATGCCAAATTCACATCTTCCTCATTTCTTTCTCTAGATATTGGTTTCAACCCAGTCAAGAGTTCACTAAGAACTACTCCAAAGCTGTAGACGTCACTTTTCTCAGTCAATTGACTGGTTCTGAAGTATTCAGGATCCAAATATCCTAACGTTCCTTGGACTAAGGTAGCCAGGTGTGTTTGATCCAAAGGGATTAGTCTCGAAGCACCAAAATCTGCTACCTTTGCGGTGTAATGATCATCTAGTAATATATTAGCAGACTTTACATCTCGATGTATTATAGGCATCGCTGCTGAGGAATGGAGATAAGCAAGTGCACTAGCTGTTTCTGTAGCTATTCGTAAACGATTTTCCCATGATAGCCAACTCGATCGGCCTTGGTTGTGGATGTGCTCGGAGAGTGTTCCATGGGAGACATACTCATAGACCAACAAAGGAACTTTTGCCTCTAAACAACAACCTAGGAGTTTGACCACATTTCGATGGTTGACTTGAGTGAGGATGACAACCTCATTGATGAAATCTTCTATTTTGGTATCATCCACGTTCTTGGCTTTCTTTATGGCAACTATGCGTTTATCAACTGGAAGGATGCCTTTGTAAACAATGCCATTTCCTCCTCGACCAAGTTCCCGATCACTCGCGTAGTTGTTGGTGGCTTTCTCCAGCTCCTCGGCTGTGAAGATTTTGGTTGCTTCTACACCACCCTCGGTCGTAGTGACTCGTTGTTTTAAGATTAGACCTCCATTTTGTCGGAAGAATTTCTCCCGAAGTTTAATAAGTTTTCTTTTCTTAAAAAAGAAATATAGCCATGTTACTCCAATGACCAATGACAAAAAGCCAGCTCCCAGTCCTGCACTTTGTATGATTTTATTACCAAATATAATTGATGTCCTTGGACTTAATTAGTCTTTAAACTGGTGTCACCTTGACACCCCTACTTGTCTAGCTAGCATTTTATTGAAGATAACCGTTGACTTTTCAAACATGTTTTCCATTTAATTATAGTTCTATAGTAGCTAGGCTATTCAAACATTTGCCAATTTATTATCAGGCCTAGCTCATCACATTCTTAACAACATTGTTATGAGGTAATAAAGGTTTGACTCAATTTTTCCTAATCATAAGTTATGTTTCTTTACAAATATTAGATGTTGATGGATATTAGTTAAAAATGAAAAATGTTTAATAATGCAGCTTGATGTATGAATATTTATATATTATCAATGCATTAATTGCAATCACATCATTAAAATAAGTTATTAAGATATATAATTTGTTACGAAGTACTTACCCACAGAAAACTTGATCCAGGGAAACTCTGAATTATTATTAGGGGCAATGCATCCACTTCCATTTTTTTTCCCA